TTTGCTAGCACCATTTGTTAAAGAGACCATCTCTTCCCCCCATTTAATGGATTTCAGCCCTTTGTCAAAAATCAGCTAACCATAGGTCTATTTCTGGGTTCTCAATTCTATCCCATTGGTCTACGCATCTGCCATTGTACCATCACCAGGCTATTTTGACTACTGTGGCTGTATAGTAGGTTTTGAGATCCGGCAGTGTGAGACCTAGTTTGTTCTTCTTCGATAGTGCTTTGCTTATCCGAGGTCTCTTTCCTTTCCATATAAAATTAGTGATTGGTTTTTCCATATCCTTAAAGAATATTGATGGGATCTGAATTGGGATTGCATTGAATGCATAGATTGCTTTGGGTAGAATTGACATTTTCGCAATGTTCAATCTTCCTATCCACAAATATGGTGTGTTCTTCCATTTATGTAGATCTCTTATGGTTTCTTGAAATAGTGTTTTGTAGTTTTCTTTGTACAGGTCTTTTGTGTCCCTAGTAAGATTTATTCCCAAGTATTTTATTTTGTTGGTAGCTATTGTAAATGGTATTGATTTTCTTATTTCCTTTTCAGCAATCTCTTTGCTGGTGTAGAGGAATCCAACTGATTTTTGGATGTTGATCCAAAATGAATTAATATATTATTTGATCTCGTATCCTGCCACAATGCTAAATCTCTCAATTAGTTTCAGCACTGCTCTTGGATTTTCTAGGTATAAGATCATATCATCAGCAATTAGGGATAGTTTGACTTCTTCTTTACCAATTTGGATGCCTTTGATTTCCCTTTCTTGCCTTATGGCCCTGGCTAGGACTTCCAGTACAATGTTGAATAGAAGTGGTGATAGAGGGCATCCTTTTCTGGTTCCTGTTCGCAAGAGGAATGGTTTCAGACTCTCTCCATTGTGAATAATGTTGGCTGTTGGTTTTGTATATATGTCCTTTATTATGTTGAGGAATGTCCCTTCTATTTCTATTTTGCTGAGAGTTTTTTTTTTTTTTTTTTTTTTAATCAGGAATGGGTGTTGGATTTTATCAAATGCCTTTTCTGCATCGATTGATATGATCATATTACACACAGAACTTTGTCTAATTGGGTTAAAATATAAACTCCTTCCGCCCACCCCTTGACTATTGGAAAAATATCTTAGTAATGAGAATCAAGGCCAGCCCAGGCCAACACAGGTGTTTGTTCACTCACCTGGTGGGTGGAGGTCAGAGCCTGTAGGGAATACTGAGGGCAAGAAGGAGAAGGAATTTAAAGTTGGAGTCTTGTGCCTCGGAGGGGAGGAAGTAAAATGGGAGGTTCTGATTCTCAGAGTACCCCAGGCCCAGAACCAAACCAATTATGTAGAGGCATTTTTACCGTATATCTTTCTGTTCTTCAGAAAAGGTGGAGGGAAGAGACAGAAGGGAAAATACTTGAATTTAAAATAACATTAGAGAAAGGGTAGATACTAATCAAAAAACTAACTTCCCTGGCTTGAAAAGGAAAGGAACTCCCCCTCTCCCTTTTCTTTTGGTGAATTCTTTCTCTGCCCCTTTCAGATGTATATAAATCTTTTTAAAAGCTGAATACACCTTTTGCCAGTTTTATAACTCAGTGATGCTTCCCTGAAGTCCCTGGGTGGCGCCATTTGCTCTTGACTGTGGTTAACATGTGGCCTGAGTTGATCCCGACTGTAGTGACTGTAGGACAGAGTAGAACTGCCCTGTAGGGTTTTCTAGGCTGCAGTCCTTGCAGGAGCAGATCGCCAGGCTGTTCTCCCGCGGCGCCCCGGGTGGGTTCGACCACTAACCTTTCGACCTTTTGGTTAACATCCGAGATCTTAACCATTGCACCGCCAACCTTTGCACTTTGCGTTTGACCTCTAGACTATAAAAGAGCCCCGGTGATGCAATAGTTAAGAGCTTGGCCAAAAGGCTGACAGTTCAACCCACCCAGGGGCGCCGCGGGAGAAAGACTTGTCCATTCTTGGCTCCTTGGAAGATTACAACCAAGAAAACTCTGGGGGGAACGGTTCTACCCCTCCCATGGGGTCACTATGAGTCAAAAATGTACTGACTCCATGGCACCCACAAACAGCCAAACTAACTTAAAGGTTGGTAGTTTGGACCTGGCGAGCGGTGTCCTTGAGGGAAATTCAATTGAAGGTCCTAAGAACTGCAATTAATTTTCAGTGTTTTCCTCAAGGACCCAGGAGACATCACTTGGAACTGTAGTCATCAGGGAAGATAACACTCTTATCTCCCACTCTTCATGGGAGTTAGTAACATAACTTCTGGGGAACCTTGTTCTAAGTTACGAAACTACTGCCTGTCATAAACATAGGAGATATTTTTCCTTTGGATAAAGGCAACTGTCAAACCCAGGTGCCTACCTATGACTGTGAGGCTGGCACAGGTAAGGCTGTTGGAGCCACTGGAACACAGCTAAGAACAGTGGTGTGTGACGAATGGCGCTGTCAAGTCCCCTATCTTGAGGACGTTATTATTCATCTTGAGAACATGTATAAAATGGACTGCATATGGGTTGCATGTGCTAGACTCTGTTGAAAGGCTAGATTCTTTGTGTCTGAAATCTCTCTAGTAGATTGCCTATTGACGTGTATCATCTTCTCGTTTAATCCTTATTCCCATCACAAAACTGTTTTCTGTCTATTCCTAATTTTGTGGCGAGGTCTTCTGGGATTGGCAGGAAATTTTAGTTTTTAATTACATTCCCACAACACTAGCAAGGCTGTCAAACATCTCCGCCAGAGGAAGGATTGCAAAGTGTGCAGCGGTATTTTTGACCCGCAATTAAGAAACCTTGGCACACCGTTTCGCACATCCCGCGAGGAGCTGGTAAGCGAAGGCTGAGCCGGGAGCGCAGACCCCCGCGAGCAAAGACTAGGCGCTTTACCGTAATTCCCAGCGGTCGGCGGCGCGCCGGCCCCGCCCACGTGCGCAGGCGCGCGAACGGTTGCGGCGGAGCGGTTGCGGGCCCAGCGGTTCGCAAGGCCGGGCTTGTGCGGGAAGCGGGAGGCTGCGGAGGCCGCGGAGGCCGGCCCCGGCAGCCCGGGCTCGGCCCGCTCCTTCCACGGTAAGTCAGCGGCCCCCGGCTGGAGCAGCCGCTGTTCACTTAAGGCAGGAATGAAACCTGCTTCCAGAATTCGAGGCGGGAGGGTGATGCTGCCGAGATGCAGCCCTCGGACCGCCCCGGGCTCCGTGGCGGGAGCGGGAATGGGCAGCAGCCGGCAGATGCGTGTGGGGAAACTGAGGCCAACGAAGAGCCCCAGCTGGGCCTCGAGCTTTGCTTCCCAGCGCCACCCATTTCTCCCAGGCAGGTGGCCCAGAGTGGGACGGGAAGAGGTCGTCCGGGGTCACCGAGGCCCCACCTGCCCACCCAGATGCTGGCAGGCCCCGGGCGAAGGAAGGAGTCCGGGTGAAGGTGCAGCGGAGGCCGCCGTCTGGGGGCGCCTTAGGCTTTCCGTGCAAAGCCCAAAGCGAGGGCCTGCCGAGCCCCCGCGCTCGACCTCGGGTCATTGCCTCTGGCTGCAAACTCTCCCGGACGAGAAACCAGACCTAGGACCCGAGGAGCTGTGCCCACACGGCTTTCCTGGAACCGTTTGCAGTGACGCTTTGGTCTTCCTGTTCCTTAGGATCTGGCGACATGAATCCGGTCGTAGTGGTCCACGGGGGCGGAGCCAGCAACATCTCCAAAGACCGGAAGGAGAGTGTGCGCCAGGGGGTCATGAGAGCGGCTACCGTGGGTTACAACGTCCTGAAGGAGGGAGGGAGCGCAGTCGATGCGGTCGAAGGAGCTGTGGTCGTGCTGGAAAATGACCCCGAGTTCAACGCAGGTAGATGGGCAGGGCGGCCGGGAGTAACGCCCAGCCACGCTGCCCCCAGCCGCCGATAACCACAACCAACATTGCATTGTTCTCTTTTTATCTCTTGACCAAGTTGCTTTAAGAATTTCAAACCCTTTCATTCACCTTTTCTTCTTTAAACTGCTTCGTGGAATTTACAGACCGTTTGGGAGAGGGCGGAGTGGGATGGGAATAGAATGTTGTTGTTGTTAAGTGCCGTCTACTATTTTTTTATTTACTACAAATTGTACCCGTTTTAAGTTTTGATAAATGGATACACTTGTGTAACCCATCAAGCGTTAAAACCTTGCACTCGACGGCGAACAACAACAACAACATTCCCCCAAAAGTTCCTTGGGCCACTTGGCAGTCAATCCCTCCCTTGATCCCCAGCTTGGGGCAGCCCCTCCTGATGTAAGTTTCCTCACTGTAGTTTGCATTTTCCAAGAAGTTCATAAAAAATGTACTCTTTTGTGTTTGGCTTCTTTCACATAACCCAGATGTTTTTATACTACTCGTTACTTTTTAGTAGTTTGATGTAACTACTCGTCTTTTATGTAATAGGCCGTGTGACATAATCGTAACAGATAAACTCAATTAGCTCATTTAATCTGAGCGATAGTCCCATGAGTTAGGTATAATTATTCCACTCATTTTTCAGAAAAGAAAACTAAGACAAACACACAAAAAAGTTAAGCCACTTTCTGGAAGACACTCCTTTCCCCTTTATTTTAAAATAGAAAACCTAAGCTCTAAGGGTCAAAATACTTGTTGGAATGACATCCTCTTACCCCAGCATCTGTCAGGGAAACAAACTCCAGGTCATCTTAATCAGTAGTCATCCATATTTCCTGTCTGTCCCCTTAACTCTGCTAAGCATTCGAACATTTGTGCAAAATCTTGTAAGTCGGCCTGACCCTAGGATGACAGGATGCTTCTTTTATGATTGTTTGGTGAGCTGGGATTTACCAGATGATACCAACCTTGCCAGCACAGGGAGCGGCTTTCTGTTTGGGGTGATGGGGCACTTGTTAAACCATCAGCTGTCATGACGCTGGAGGCTAACACATCCCCAGCATTTACACAGGACCTTCACTGGGAGTAATTCAACCCAGTTCCCACCCTCTCCAAAGGAGCAGGATCTGTGATTTGCATGGAATGGGAACTGGAACAGCTAGTTCTCATTTCTTTGCTCTGTAATCAAAGGCCTGCCTTCTGCACAGCTCCCCCTAGAATTTCCCAGATGTCAGCTATTCAGCACTTGGAGAGAGAAAAGGATAGGGCTGCACAGAAGCAAATCAAAGGTTTAGGGGAAGAAGGGGGGAAATTTTAACAGCATCCTGTTTACCTTGAGTTCTTTTCCTTCCTCAGCTGGGAGTAATGCAAGTCAAGGGCTTCCCCAGCAGCCTCTGCTTTAATCCTCTAAAATAACTAGGACTCTCATACAAGAAGCGGACTTCCAGTAGTTACATTCCACCACCCACTCACTACCCACTCGATTCCGACTCATAGCGACCACGTAGGACACAGTAAACTGCCCCATAAGGTTCCTAAGGCTGTAAATCTTTTCAGAAGTCCACTGTCGCATCATTCTCCTGTGGAGCCACTGGTGGGTTTGAACAGCCAACCTTCTGGTTAGTAGCCAAGTGTTTGACCACTGTTCTACCAGGGCTCTTGGTAGTTAAGTTGTTGTTGTTGTTGTTGTTGTTATTGTTATGTGCCGTCAAGTCGGCCCCAACTCAGCGACCCCTCCTTGGGTTTCGGAGGCAGTATCACTATGGAAGTAGATTGCCCAACCTTCCTTCCGAGGAGTGGCTGGTGGGTTTGAACTGCCAGC